CGCTAGACAATCAGAAACATTTAGAAACAATTTTAACAATTTAGAGGGAAAATCTGTAAAGAAATTCTACTTCCATTAAAAACTGCTTGATAGAGACTGATTTTTTTTTTTTTTTTTCTTAAATCCTGACACATCAACAGGAAGCTGCTTGGTTGGCTCTTTATTAATGTTTACTACACTTCTTTGAAGGAGCCCTAGAAACAAAGTGAGTTAGTTACAAGTTGGGCAGTTGCAAGGTCAGCAGTTCAAATCAACCGGCCGCTGAGCAGGAAAAAGACGAGGCTTTCTGCTCTGTTGTTAAATTACAGCCTTGGAGACTCTATGCAGGGTCCCTAAGTCAGAACTGACTCATGGCACAAAAACACCACCACCACGCTTGTTCACTTTCCACTGAAAGTAAAGTATAGGTGAGGATTACACATCGGTTTATAAAGGCGGTTAAGATATCACATAGGCTCGTTCACTATGGAGGCCTTGTTTCTCTGCCTGCAAATTTGAAATGGTTGAACTAAAGATTCTGCAAAGGCCTCTTCAAGCTCTTACAGAGTTGGCACCAACCTGACAACAAGTCCTAGGTACCCTGCTTGCCTTACCTTAACCCTAAGTCTAAGCTTTGAAATGCTGTGTGAGAATCTATGATACATTTCCAAGAGAAGATAAAGCCTTCAGAGTATCCAAATGTTTCCCAACAGTCAGGCAATTTTATAGGAAAACAGCAAAAGTTGGATTGGTAAAGAATGTTAGTTGCCTGCCCTAACTTCTTGTCTTCTCTCCTTCCTAACAGAACCTGGGGTTCCTCTGGGACAGCAATTCTCCCCAACTCTCCAGCAGCTGGTGTGGCATGTAAACAGTGGTGTGTGGAGAGGTTCCGGTGAGGGTCCTTAAAGGAAAGGGGCAGCGCCATCACACTGCCCAAAGTGTGGGAGCTCTAGCTGCCATCTTGGCCCAGAAGGTGAGGTGTACCTTTACTGATGCTGGAGAAGTCTGGGACGCTGCTGACCACATGCAACTCCCATACCTACACTACGGCCATGTGTTCTATGGCAGGGATGTAGGTGTTCCAAGGGACATGGGCTGCCTAGCTCTGGATCTCTTTATGCAAGAAATTGCTATCTAATTTAAGTAAGGCATTAATTTTCCCCTGCATATAATTTAACAAATACATATGAGTTAGCATTTTTCACAGTCACTTGGTAATAAAGGCAGAGTTTTAGAAACCTGGTGAAGAGTACAAGAAACTGGACTTTGATTTTATACGGGGCATACTTTCCTGACACTTCCTTTTACTCGAGAAAACAAAAACAGACAAATGAAAACTAGAGCAATACCTCAAACTCCAGGAAAAGCTTCCAGCTTTCTTCCCACTTCTGAACACCTTCAAAGAGTTCCTTGTGAACTTCATAGTAGTTTCTTAACCGTACAATCTCAGCATCATGGAGCTGAAGCAGATTCTCAGTGTAGTCCTCTGTAATAGAGAGGCCCTAGAGTTCTTTAAAATTCTACTAGTGTTTAGAATCCCAACTTACTAATGCCCCCCGCCCCCAAGATTTTTTTTTCTTGGTAATAAACATGACACATGAATAAGTGTATTTGGAGACATCAGAAAGTCCGTGGGAAAATTCCATTACTTTTTCATTTTGTTTTCCCACAAACTTTTTGAAGCCCCCTCGCATATACTGTTGATAATGGGGATCAGGTTTCTCACCATCAGAAAAATGAGGTGTCAAGAAGAGAGAAAAGTGAGAATGAACTCTGTGGTGATGGACTGAATTGGAATCACATCCATCCTAACTCACAGGGACTCTATAGAGGATTTCCGAGGCTGTACAGCTTTATGGGAACAGAAAGCCTCCTCTTTCTCCCGTGGAGGAATTGAAGGGTTGCAAACACCTATGGATCCATAATGATATGAATAAATAAGATAACTCTTCCTTATGGTAGAAGAAATGAGGGAAATAAGAGTCACCATTCAGCAAACACTAAAACTAACTTTTGCAGGCATGAACCCATGGACGAATCAGAAAACCAATGTGTGAAGTATGATGAGAATCAGCCCATCTAAGTCGCTTCCTACCCGACACTTATTCATTACAAGGGAGAAACAATGAGCTCCAGTGGAGAAACCCAAAAGATACCACTTAACCACGGGGGCAAAGTCAGTGTCACTCGAAATGCCACATCTCCTTTCTTCCTACCACAATGTAGCTAGTCCAATTGCCTTATTCATCTTGTGGTGGCCCCAACTCTGAAGCTATTTTGATAGTCATATAGGGTATTTATGTATATAAGGCAAATTGCTATGTCTCAATTTCTTCATCTATAAAATGGGGATAATAATATCTAATGACAAAGCCTACCTTAGAGGCTATCACTGTGAATTCAATGGTTAACTGTGTGTTGTTTGTTTGTTCTTTAAGTAGGCAGGCCACATGAAGACCACCATTCTGTACTAACCATCATAATATGGGGCAAAAGCCTGTCTCTGCTCCTGGCTGTAAAAACACTGGTCCCAGAACTGAGCCAGCTCCACTCGAATTGCCTCAATCACTTTCTTCATGTTCAGCATCTTCAATTCTTCCAACCGATCCACTTCTAATTGCAACTAAAAGGAAAAGACCTGCTAAAAAGGTTCCATTTTCACATTTACCTTAGCTTTGCAAAAGCAACCCTCCACTTAAAGTTACAACACAGTCACAGAAGTAAACCAACACACTGTGATAAGAGCCAGAAATCTAAGGAACATACACAAAAGATAGAATATGTGTAATCCTTTTTTTAAAGTTCTTTCTGATACGGCCATCCTCTTCTGATACTTGTCTTAAAGATAGGTTTGCCCAAAGCGGAAGCTAGTAAACACCTCAGACTTGATATAGAAGCACCTTTGGAAGACTATTCCCCTAGTGCCAATTGGGTTTCTCACCGCTTTCTTGACCTTGGCCTTTGATCCAGTCATAATAGTGGCCACTGCTTCTCTCTCTTCTGCAGGTATTTGTAACCTGTCCCACAGCTCTCGGATCTGAGCCCGCAGCCCCTCACACATAGCTTCATTTTGCGATTTTCGCATTTCCAGCTGCCAGCAGAGAAAGCCAGCAGTTATTCACAGCAGGAACTTCACCACAGAGCAAATTCCCACAAAGAGTCTGGATTCACATGGAAAGAAAGCACTTTTACAAATGTCAGATTATCTTCGTGACTTCAAAGTTGTCATTATGGGAGTGAATCAGACTCAGTAAAATTCAAGTTTTTGAATTAAATTTTCTTCTCAAATGCTACAATAATTCAAATGAATATTTTTAAAATCTAAAGTTTATACTCTTAGAACTATATATAAATTTTATCAAACACCTGTATTTGTAGATATTACATGAATTACTATCTTTATCCTCCCTCATTTTTTAGACCTATATTGTCTCTTCTTTAAAATACAAAAGAGAAAAACACCCAGTGTTTTTACACAGTTGGGTACTGTGAAGCTCTCAGGACACAATTTAAGCTATTACCTGCCGCAGTAACTTTTGTAGGGCTGTGATATTCTCCAAAGATAAACAAAAGGCATCTTCATCTTCACACACCACATCTCTTTCAAAACTTGTGTCTGGGGTATGATCCAATTCCTCCATACACAGTATGATCTGTCTCTTTATGCTGACAAACTCCTCACGTCTAGATGTCTATAAGACAAAATAATTCTAAGGTTTTTATAAAAAAGCCACACTGCCTTTTAGGAAGTCTGAATGTGAGCCAAATACCTTTGTTTCCTGCAGAGTTGCCACATGTTGTCTGAACTGATCTAGCTCATCTAAGCTGGGAACTGAGGCACTATCAGTTTGATAGGGAGACATGCAAAGAAGTTCACACAGTTCTTGATCTTGTTCTTGAAGTAGTTTCAGTTTCTGTTTTCTCTCCTTCTTCTGTTTTCGCATCAATTCCACCTGAGTACGCAAATCCTTTTCTAATTGCAAGATGGTCGTCTCCCCTTCTTCCTGTAAAGGCAATGTCCCATGGTTATAAGGGTCCACAGGACTTCTTTAGGGAGCGAGTCACGAAGAGGCCAGAATGCAGGCTGTTATGGCACAAAGAAGATCCCCGAAGGAACACCCTCCAACAATGAAAGGTACCAGGGCACTTCTGCAAGAGGTGAAGACTGGTTGTAAAACTTGTTCTGGATTAGCTATAGGGTGGTATATCTAGCTCATAGCTAAATGTTCATCCTACTATTTTAGAACCACTGCAATTTAATGGAAATGTACCATTGTATACCTCATTCAATTTCATACTGAAAGCTAATAAAATATTATAGAAAGAGAAACCTAGGATCCAAAATCAATTATATAAGAGGGCATCAAAAAGTTCATGGAAAATAGAAGTAAAAGATAATGACATTTCCCCACAAACTTTTTGAAGCCCCTCGTATGTCTGTCACTTCTGGTAAGATCCAGAACACTCCACTGATGTCATAGTCTACCTGACTGCTCCTGAAAGCCAGGTATGATTTCTCCTTCTCCTAGACTCCTGGGTCTCCCTTCTAAGCTGACCCATCTAAATCTCCAGGCAGGAGAGGGACCCTATGGGGTTGTCCCTGACTGACATCTACTCTAATGACCCTCCCAGGTTCCACATTTATTTTATGATTCTGACACTACTTTTGCTGGTTCTAGCCAGAGCTGTTTTGGGGCCACTGACTTACAAACACAGTAAACACTCAGCTAGTCACACAAATAATCACAGCATACTCTGAACTCAACTATGATCTATCTGACACACTAGCTTTTAAGACATTTCCTCTGAAGTAGCCACGGTAGTTGGTATAATGGTGTTATTATTAGCTGGCTGCACCTTCTAGGTAATAAAAGGGTCTGCAAAGGCAAGGTTTATAACTTTTCCTCAAAGTTAAAACAAAAAATGAACATGCCCTACAAGGCAAAACAAATTGGCAGCAAGATGAAGCTTGTTTTTGATCAGAGCTCTGCAACACCTATTATAGTTGATTCTCCTCTCACTGGTGGCAAATCCTTATATGTGTGAAAATTACTTGGCCTGAACTAGTTAACTAGGTGGCAAGTCTTCTCCATTCCTCCTGTTCCCACCCATAAGGAGACCATCCATCTCTGCTTGGATCTCAGCTCCCAGTCAAGCTTCTTCCTAGACTATACAGGCTCCCCTGAGATCTATAAATGGCAAGATATACCTGAATCGGCTCAACATGTAACTCGCTACAAAGGGTATTCAGTTCTTTTTGACAAATAGTGATGCTTTTGATGAGTCTTTCCTTCAGGCTTTCCTCCTCAGCAATCATCATATCCAGGAGATCCTACGACAGAGAGAGAGCAAGCCAATAAAAGTCTGGATCAAGGAAAAAAAACAACCAACACCATCAAAACTCTCATAATTTCAAGAGAGGATTTTAAAAAACATGACATTGAAAACTCACTTTGATATGCTTCTTTACAACCTCAGTTCTTTGTAAGCGCTGGTCTTCTGGAATCCCAATTCGTTCCCATATTTCTCGAAGGTGATTCAGGGCTTTCTGGAGACATATTATGGACTCCTCGGCCAACACCTCACTGAAAGGCAAAAGAGGGCTGTTACATCAATCACTGTGTCCAGAATAAAGGAACCATTCCCAGGAATTAAATAAGGTAGGAATATTTCTCAGTTTCCTCAGACTTAAACAAATTGAAAGCAATTCCGTTTACTTCACCTTTAACCACTCCCCTTCCCTTCTTGCTCCAAATGTCACAACACTGGTTAAGCAAAATTGAAAACCACGTTTTATCATGGAAATGCAATCTTCTGAATAATCTCATAATCTGGACTTTCATCAATGATTCTACTTATGGCAGTGTATATAAATGTTTTCTTTAAAGAAAAAACAGACATTTATAACATTGGGGGTCCTAAAAGCTTGCAAGCAGCCATTTAAGATAACTATTGGTATCTATTCATATGCTGCAAAAGAGAATGGAGAAACTCAAAGGCTCAAAAAAAGGACAGTAGTCCATAGGCCTGATGGACCCACGTAAACCACAGCTTTTTCTAACCTGAAGACCAGAAGAACTAGATGTGCCGGGTTACCATTACACACAGGTTACACCTACTGACCGTTCTCACCAGGAACACATTAGAAGATACCAGATAGAATGGGGGAGAAAATGTAGCACAAAATTCAAGTCCCTCAAAAAAGGTCAGCGCTACGGAACCAATATAGACTAGAGGAACTTTCAAAACTATCACCGTATGATACCCTTTGAACTTGGACCTAAAACTATTTCTGGAGATCATCTTTCAGTCAAGTTATAGATTGGCTTATATGTAAACAGTATCACCTGTAAGTCATGTGCTCCCTTAAACAATCAACTATATGATACTAAACAGTCAACATTTACCCAAAAGTAAAGATGACACTGGTCAGAAAGAGACTGGAGGCTCTCAGCCACCCTTTCAGGTCTGGAAAGGAATCCATCCTCATGAACCAATTTTCAGCCGAACAGTAAGTAGGTACATAGGCGGGGACACTAGTAAGTATATATGCACCATGGACTAGTCACCCATTGAAAATCAGATGTGCAATATTTCCCTAAGGACAAAGTTGAGAAGAGATGGGAAGGTGGATGGAATGGAAATACGAATCCCAGGGAGAAAGCGGGATAACTCTTGCTGCATGGAGGGGGCTGTAATCATTGAGGTGAAACAAAATGCATGATTTGTTGAATGTAAAACTAATGATCTTGTCTTTAAAAAAAACTTCACAATAAAAAGTTTTTCTTTAAAAAAAATAAAAGCAAAGATAAGACAAAGAGGGAAAGGGAAACTAGAACAAAAAGAATAGAAATAATGAGAACGCTGATGTTGTGAAAATTGTAACCCAGTTCTTGGACCCTTTTGCTTAAAATTGTTCAAAAGGGACCTTATTTTTTTTTTTAAATTTTCCCCAAACCCCCATTAAGTTTTTTTTTAAAAAGGAAAAACAGACCAAAAAAAATGTCTGCAAACACAAGAGTTTGTTGGTATAGCTACTACAACACACCTGACAATTTATTACTATACCCACTCCTCACTTACTGACAAGGTAAGGTTCTTATGCAAAATCAGCATATGTGAAAATAAAGGATGACCACATCAGCTCACAAAATGGAAGATGACTACATCATTATATAACCACGGCCAAGCCAAGTTGACACATAACCTTAACCATCACAGCCACCGTTACTCTCACCTTGAACCTTGGCATTCGTTACTGCCAGACATAGATCATTAATGCAAAAACAGATAGAATTTTTTTGACAATTGCCATAAATGAGAAATCTGAGAAGATGGATTCTATGAAGAAAAATGTGATATCAGGATTGGAGGAGGACTCATTAACAATCTGCGATATGCAGAAGATGCAACCTTGCTTGCTGAAAGCTAAGAGGACTTATAATACTTTGATGAAGATCAAAGCACAACTTTGGTATGAGTTGTACCTCAATGGCACCCAGGAAGCAGAAACTTTGCACAACTTTGGTATGGGTTGTACCTCAATGTGAAGAAAACAAAAGTCCTCACCACTGGACCAATAAATGGCATTCATTAGAAATGGAAAAAGACTGAAGTTGTCAAAGATTTCATTTTGCTTGGCTCAACCATCAATACTCATGGACGCAGCAGTCAAGAAGTCAAATGAAAAAAGGGAAAAAAAAGAAGTCAAACGTCGTATTGCATTGGGCCAATCTTCTGCAAAAGACCTCTGTAAAGCGTTGAAGTGCAAATATGTCAGTCTGAGGACTAAGGTGCACCTGACCCAAGCCAAGGTATTTTTCAATAACCACCTATGTATGCAAAATTAGACAGTAAATATGGAAGACCACAGAAGAATTGATGCATTTGCGTTATGGTGTTAGAAAATATTCAAAGTAACATGGACTTAAAAAAACAGATTTGTGTTGGAAGAAGAGCAGCCAGAGTGCTCCTTGGAAGCCAGGATGGCCAGACTTCGTCTCTCATACTTTGGACATATTGTCAGGAGGCACCAATCACTGGAGAAGGAAATCATGCTTGGTAAAGTGGAGGATTGGAGAAAAAGAGGAAGACCCCACCCCCCCCAATAAGATGGATGCAGTGGCAGCAGTGATGGGCTAAGGTGTAGCAATAATTGTGAGGTTGGCCCAGGACCAGTTTCATTCTGTTGTGCATAGGGTCACTATGAGTTGGTATGAACTCAATGGCACCAAAAAACAACAATCTTCTACTGAAAATGCATAATTTATGTGGATGTAGTAATAATAATGAATTGTTGTTAAAGTGCCAAAGAGTCAGTTTCGACTCATAGAGATCCTGTATAAGGGTACAAAGGGACTTTTAAAAAGTTGGTAGAGAAATAGGGTTATAAGGTAAAAATAAAAAACAAACTTTATGTCTCATCATAAGTCCAATCAAGGTCAAGACACTTTCGTAAGCAATGCTACTTGCCATTTAATCCATCCCTAAGAACTGAGGGTTCTGGGAATTTAACCATGTCAATGCTGTCTTTTTTACTCTATTAACTAAAGAAAAATGTGTGCCCCTTTTTGTTTTGTTTTAACAGCAAGTGAAATTTACTAGAGCAATAAAAATATACTTTATAATTTGACAAAATTATTTACCAGTTCTCAAAATGGGTGTCCTTTAAAGATTTGAAGCATTGTTATGGTAGTGGACTCTCTGGTGAAGCTGTGAAAGTCATTTTTCGGCTAAACCTTTGGTTAACTGTCTCAAAGCACTCACAATGAGCAGGTGTTTGGCCCTAAAGAAGGTCAACAAGCACAATGCCTTGAGTATCCCAAAAAACTGTTGCTATGACCTTTGCTTTTGACTGGTCTGCTTTAACTTTGACTAGACCACTTCCACCTCTTGGGAGCCATTGTTTTATCTTCAGGATCATACCAATAAAGCCATGTTTCATCTCCTATTAAAATCTAACAAGAAATATTTTAGGATCTTGAGCCCAACTGTTTAACTTTGCACAACTTTGATTATTCAGTCAGAATTATGTAAGCTGGACCAACTGAAATGTCTATGGTGTTGGCTCGAGCACTCGTCTGTCAGTTTGGCGTACAGTGGTAGCTTGCATGTTGCTGTGATGTGGAAGCTATGACACCTGTATTTTAAATACCAGCAGGATCTCACCCAGGATGGGCAGATTTCAGTAGAGCTTCCATACTGAGACAGACTTTGTTTGTTAAGTGACTTCAAATTGGTTCTGACTCATGGCAACTCTGTGTAGGGTTCCCTGTATTTGAACCACTTACCTTATAGTTAGCAGTCCAGTGCTTATTCTATGGCACCATACCAGGAGAGCACAGGAAGAAGGAAAAGCAGATTACTCTTGATAGTAGTTGTCTGTTGTCAAGTGCCATTGAGTTGATTCTGACTCATGGTGACCTTCTGCACAACCGAACAAAACACTGTCCGGTCCTGCCAGTCTCACAACGGTTCAGCTTGAGCCCACTGCTGCTGCCACTGTATGGTAGCCACTGAAAACCATATGACTGGCAGCAGAACACTGTCAGATACGGAACCAAAAGAGGAGTCCCTGAGGTTGGAAGGCACTGAAAATACCACTGGCAAAGAGCTGCCTCCTCAAAGTAGACTTAATCCTAATGACGTGAATGGAACAAAGCTTTTGGAACTTTCATTTGCTGATGGGGTACAACTCAAAATAAACAGCTGCAAACATCCCTTAATAATCAGAACATGGACTGTATCAAGTCTGACTCTAGGAAAATTGGAAGTCGTCAAAAATGAAACAGAACGCATAAAGATCAATATCCTAGGAATGAGTGAGCTGAAAGGGACTGACTGGTATTGCCATTTTAAATCACTTGAATATGGTTTACTATGCTGTGAGAGACAAATTTCGCAGGAATGGCTTCATACTCATTGTCAAAAGC